TCAACAGGGGGAAGAGCTCAGCGCTTCCCCCACCAGGGCACGACGTGACGCCAGCAGAAAGGAGGCTACTTGGTGATGCAGGCCTACCGATTGCGGAGGAGGGCATCACAGTAATGGGAGTCCCCATTAGGACGGATGCCTACGTCGAGGATATCGCAATGAAAGTGATAGCTGAAGGGGGTGCAGACAAGCTTGCTCGCATGCTGGTGCGCATGCCAGACAAACAGGTGGCTCACCTCGTCACATCACAATCGCTGACACAGCGATCCGGATATATCGAGAGAGGCATCAATCATAAATTAGTGAGAGGAGCTTGTGAACGCCTGGACAATATGGTGATGTGGGTCCTAGAGGCAACGATGGGGCTCAGAGATACCGAAGTCGAAGAAGAGTTCTTCCAAGACGACTGCCAGCCTGACCGCTTCAAGTTAAAGCCCTATCAACAAGCCCAGGCGCGCCTGTCGACAGGAGCCGGAGGACTAGGATTACCAGCAGCCGTTATGCGGAGGTTCTCAGCTTCTCTGGGCAACGTAGTCGGCACCCTTCCTGCGGTTATAGCCGCGTTACGGGGTCCATTGGGAGAGTCGGTGAGAGTTCGGATACCGGGAACCGTGTTGGTGGAGCGGATGGGGGACGCTATCAAAGAACTCAACCAGGAGCATGGAGTATCGGTGGAGATTCTGAAGGGGATCCTTCCCCCGTCATGGGTTGAGTGGGCCTTAGAACCGACAGGAGAAACCGGAAGGCGTCAGCCCACCGTTGCAGAACTGGCAGCACACGATGGGGAATCTACTACGCCGAGGAAAGCCCAGCACAAACTGGGCAAGGCGATTAACAAGATACAACTTGAAAAGTTCATGGAGTCTCTGGAGCACCTCCCCCAGGAGGCGGTACCACCCACGCGGGACAACCCCTACGGAGGTCAAGAGGCCAGGAACATGGCATACGCACGAACGAGAAGCTCGCAAGGGCAAGGGGGGCACGCGTTCCTGAGAGCGGCTCCCACCGACCGAGCTCGAGAGATTCCATCGAACGAATTCGTCTACGCGACGAGACGCGCCTTGGGAGTTGAAGAATTCTTGGCGGAAAGATGTCCCAGGTGCCACAGAGGCAGGGAAGGCGAGATCATCACAACGGTGCACGCAAGGACCTGTCGAAGGGATGGAGCACAGGTCAACATGCACGAGCCGTTAAAATACGCACTATCGAGAGCACTCAACGGCCTTCGCGTCAAACACGACGTTGAAAGCGGGGCACCGTTCACGGGGGAAAGAAACCTGAGCATGGACATCGTCATCAGGCCAGGAGCCCTCACGAACGCATCTTCTCCGGGGTACCGCAACAAAGGAATACTCCTCGATGTCACACACGCAGACCCGCAAGCACAGGTACACTTGCGGAACGGCAGCGCGACCAGCGATGGAATCGCAGCCCAAGCATCCGAGGCGCGAAAGCGTCAGCACTACGCTCGTCCGGGACACGTGTCCTTTGACGAACGCAGCTTTAAACTTACCACCTTAGCCGTGGAAAGCTTTGGCCGCCTTGGAGAGGAGGGTTACGAGATCATCGATGAACTTGCGACACATGCTGTGGGAGGGAGGGACGGAGGAACGATGGCTCTGAAAGGAGTCTTCAAGGAACGACTTCTTCAGATCGTTTCGGTGGCTACACAGGTGGCCATATCTCGGCGAGTGCAGAGGTATAAGCTCGCATTGCGCGGGCGTCAAGACGCCAAAAACAGGCGAACAAGATCGACCTCGAACCAGTCAACGCCAATGATATGGNTGAAAGTAGAATAAGTCCTACATATGTTGTTGTACTTCGTATTGGTTTAATATATATGTAGAGTATGAGACATTAAGTGAAAGTTTTCTGAGGTACATCTGCAATTGTCGGAAGGCAAAAAAAAAAAAAGGGAGGAGGACCTTGAAGCGGAGAAGGGAATTCGGAGGATCGGGGGGGTCCAAAAATGGCGGCAAGTAGCGCGACTTTTGCTGGGGTCTTCATCTCGCCAAGGCACGTGATGTTTGAGTGCGTATTCTTTTTGCTCTGATTTTGTGTTGTGCAATCTATTGTTTTTGTGTTTGGTCTTCAGATTCCAATATATCTGATACACCTTTCACCTTTGTTTGAATGTCTGCAAATCATTTTTCCTATCGTTGGCGCATTCGCAGGTTTTATTTGCTTTGGTATATTTCTCCAGAGATGTCCACTCGCGTTTTACCTTGCAGGGACACTAATTCCCACGGCCAAATGGCAGGAAATTCCCATGGCAGGTTTTTGTTGTTTTTCTGGGAGGCGAATGGAATGTTGCGGCCGGGGGGCTGTCGTTTGCCAGGAAAATATCTCAAATGGCGGTGGTGGTATGATTTCTGCGTGTGGTTTGTTCCGCTTTGGCTTTTCCTTCTTTGTTGGGATAGCATTCTCTATGGCAGTTACTCCTATATCTTTCTGGTGGTGGTGCTGGATATACGTAGGCGTTGGCTTGGCGTGCGACGTGCTGGGTAAAGACGTTGGGGGGCACGCACCGTTACTCTGTCCCTCCGATGTACCGGTACACGACGAGTTAGTCCTTGCGGAGTACCAATTTTCCTTCCCAAGTAGGCCTGTACGTTAGACTGGTATGTGCTGGACGTGTGACGTCTTTTCTTTGATATATGTTGGTTTCTTGTTTCGGTTTGGAGTTTTATCCATGATGGAGTTGGAATGCAGAATTGGCATCTGGATTTTGCAGAATTCGCCTGATTGTTGCACTGCTGTCGGATATCATGGGGTGGGGGGTATGATACCATGCTGTCCGCCTCAGCACAACAAGCAGTATTTCTGACATTGGGTTTGGTAGTTCACGTTTGGATTTTCCGCGTTTTCCCTTCGGATTTATATGGAATTGATTATATTGACTTTTGCGATTTGGGTAGTTCATGTTCGGATCGATCGTTCATGTTCGGATCGATCACTTTCCGCGTGTTACCTGCGGAGTTGATATGGAAGTGAACGTTGAATGAGATTTTAGTTGCGTTTATATGAGATGCCCCAGCGGGGGGTTTGTTGGATGGATTAGCTGAGATGGAGGAATCGAAGCCACATCAATTTTTTTATGAACATTTACTAGGCACTTGTTTCCGAACACGTTTGGGATGAATTCATCGGTTTGTTTCCGAACGCGTTTGGGATCACTTGATTGGTGTGTTTGTGGACTTTGCTTTGTACTGGTATGTGTATTGGAGGAAGGGTTTGGCATGTTTCAATAAGTCATGGTTGACGCCTTTGTGCTTTCGAAGGCTATTTGAACTGGTCATTGAGTTGAACATGATTTTCATCTAAGGAATTTGTTCTGAGTAGTTGGGGCACGTTTTCCCAGAGTTACCCGTCCCCGTTCTGACGCAACTCCGATTTAATGTGGATCTTTACTTGGAATTTTCCAAGGCAGACCTTTTAGGGCATAACAATTTGACATCATCATCAGATTTGAAAGATTTCGTAAAACGTGATTTATTGGGAGATCGACAGATAGATTTCGTAGTACATTTATTTATTTATTTTTGCCTTCCGACAATTGCAGATGTACCTCAGAAAACTTTCACTTAATGTCTCATACTCTACATGAATATTAAACCAATACGAAGTACAACAACATATGTAGGACTTATTTCTACTTTCATTTACATCGTAAAAATATCTCCTCTTCAACTTGAAATAAACCAATGACAATCCTGATGGTATCCTATATGCGTTCGTAAGCTTGCTAAAATACTACTGCGTTGATGTCCTCTTGTAAAAGCTGAAATCCAACAAATGCTTTGATCCATGCTACATCTCCGTGTTGGAAAAGCCCTTTCTTCTCCGTTCATGATAACATCTTACCCTATTCTACGCAAATCTGTCACATCTACTCTCAAACAAGACGCCAACTTCAAACGAAAACGCGTTCTACGATGCGTCTACACTCCATCCCCATATCATTGGCGTTGACTGGTCCGAGGTCGATCTTGTTCGCCTGTTTTCGGCGTCTTGACGCCCGCGCAATGCGAGCTTGTACCTCTGCACTCGCCGAGATATGGCCACCTGTGTAGCCACCGAAACGATCTGAAGAAGTCGTTCCTTGAAGACTCCTTTCAGAGCCATCGTTCCTCCGTCCCTTCCTCCAACGGCATGTGTCGCAAGTTCATCGATGAACTCGTAACCCTCCTCTCCAAGGCGGCCAAAGCTTTCCACGGCTAAGGTGGTAAGTTTAAAGCTGCGTTCGTCAAAGGACACGTGTCCCGGACGAGCGTAGTGCTGACGCTTTCGCGCCTCGGATGCTTGGGCTGCGATTCCATCGCTGGTCGCGCTGCCGTTCCGCAAGTGTACCTTGTTTTATTGGGAGAATGTTTGAATTGGAATGAATGATGGATGATTTCCGTTTGGATGCGTAGTTTGATTTATTGCCGTTTTACCTGGCAATGATAGTCGTGACGGGGATTTCGTAGATCGTATCTCGTACCGAGCAGGGGGGCTGTTTGGGGTGCCCGGCAGAGTGTACTGTCTACGGGGGCTCCGGGGGGTACGCAGATGAAATGCGTTGATGAGCATGCTGCATGGCGATGGTGTTGCCTACCGCATGTCTCTCACTCTCTAAGCAACAAGGTCTTGAGTCAACCTTTTTCTCTTTCGGCCTCTGACGAGCTACCGCACTCAAACACCCAGCTACCCCTTGTTTCTTACGTCTTGTGGGTATCGCACTGTCACGTTTCTTACTGGGACGCTTCTTATGTTGTGGCCGAGATTGAGGTGTGTTTCTTATTCGACCTTTTTCTCATATTTTCGTAAAAACTTAAGCCTTTTTTTCATATTTCATAGAATTTTTCGTATCTGAGGGCGCTATCTGTATCACTTTCGATCCCGCGTGATGGATGCTCTACGGCACGCACGCACGGCCCACCATCCCAACATTCCAACCGAAAGATGATGACTGCACAGGACTGACCGTGAGAAAAGAAAAAAAGTGGGTTCGCAAATAACGCCTCCTTTGATTCTTTCGGCCGTTCGGGGTGGGAGATTCTGAAGAGACCGGACGACCAACGGAGCGACATGATCACTGTCGCCTAAAATCTCGGTGTCCGCTTGACACAGACAACGGAGGACATGCCACGAGAATTCAGGTGATGCACGTGGGCCGGTACTAGATAAGGGGGGGTAATGAGCCGCGGGTGACGTCTCAATACCTTCTGCAGTAGTCTATCTGCGATGCTGTGCTATTCTATTATTGGTGCGAGACACGCTGCGTTCCAGGGAGCAACGCAGCAACCCAGCAACGTGCAATTCATAACGTGCGGAAAAATATTCGTACGGATCTACCACGACCTTGTTGTACCGGCTCCCGCTGGAAGTTCTTGTTTTTTATTTTACTCCAACTCAACAGCGGAGGAACATGCTCGCCTCTGCTACAACACAACAGCAGTACCTCTAACGATCGGCACCTCATAGTACTGACACAGACACAAATGAACATTGAATTGGTAGATAGCTTACACGAATTCACTTGTAGTGCGGCCGCTTTGCTGTAATGACAATGACTCCCATCTATCCTACTTATTTCTATTCGGCAGTAGTGCTGCATGGATTTCCAACGCACCCCTGGTGCGATGGGTGCGATGTGGAAGAAATCACAGTGGCCATGATACAGCAGTGCTGAGTGAACGCACTCCGGTGCGATGACACCGATAGGTGCGATACTCAAGAAACGAACAGGCATTTCCTGGTACATGCAGCTTGCTCAGGCGGTACCATGCAACCAGCTCGGAGTGGTGATCAGTGATGAAGCAGAATCCGAGTTTGGGGTGGCGTGTGCCGTGAGGGACACCGAGACTGGCACGTGGCTCCTCATGGAGGAGCTGTGGCGCTGTGGTTCCCTGCTGGGGAAGGTATACCGCACGGTATCGTTTTTATTCCAGCCTCTTTGTTGGTCGCAAGCCCCTGCGACGTTGGCTGGTGCTTCTCTCTGTCTTTGTCTGCCTCAAGGGACATGGTCCCGGTATAACTGTAATACCGTTTACGAACTCCTTCTTGTTGGTTGGAGGTGCGGGATGTGTACTGTGTGCTTGGTTGAGTGAGTGAGTGCATTCGATGTACAGATTACCGTGGAAAAAATAATGAATCATCTATACATACTGGAGTACATTAAATGGCACGACAATTGGCACTTGCCAACCGCGCCACATACCGTTCGACACGAGGCCCGGAGGGTACTGGTACCTTGCGGAAGCACGCATTTTTTCGTCCTTCGCAGAATATATTTCGTTGATATCACACCGGGTGCGATAACACCGATACCGGTGCGGAAATACAATTTAATCACGCTGTTGATATTTCTGCGCACCCCGGTGCCATGAGACCAGATGGGTGCGAAATCAAGGATGAGTGCCATAACACGCACAATAACGGTAGTCAAAAACATAACCATACAACAGAAGACCAAGGCTACGACGAGTAGATTAACGGGACTATGTTCCCTGTTGTGCAGTGCTAGAGGAGGCGGCAAGGGCAAGTTTGCAAGGCAGGTGGTTCAATGTGAAAGCTGGTCAATGTTGTCTTCACATTAAACCGTATGTCAGTTGCCAAATGCCAAAATCTAGCAAAAGACTCTCAGCCCGTGGTCACGAAAGTGCTAGAGCCATCTGAGGATCTAAAGAAAACGCACACATATAACGAGAAAAAGGTATCCAAGAGCCCGAAGAGGTACACCTAAAAATCCCTGCAGCACCCTATGCATGCCCAAAAACTGAACTGCACATCCGTCCCACCGTTCGACTACAGTAGCATCACCCCCTCCCTGTCCCACTCTATACCAAAACGGAAGATTGCCGACTAGAGCATACTGCTGTCT